ATGTCATATGGTCAGATGAAACCAAAATAGAACTTTTTGGTAAAAACTCAACTTGTCGTGTTTGGAGGACAAAGAATGCTGAGTTGCATCCAAAGAACACCATACCTACTGTGGAGCATGGGGGTGGAAACATCATGCTTTGGGGCTGTTTTTCTGCAAAGGGACCAGGACGACTGATCCGTGTAAAGGAAAGAATGAATGGGGCCATGTATCGTGAGATTTTGAGTGAAAACCTCCTTCCATCAGCAAGGGCATTGAAGATGAAACGTGGCTGGGTCTTTCAGCATGACAATGATCCCAAACACACCGCCCGGGAAACGAAGGAGTGGCTTCGTAAGAAGCATTTCAAGGTCCTGGAGTGGCCTAGCCAGTCTCCAGATCTCAACCCCATAGAAAATCTTTGGAGGGAGTTGAAAGTCTGTGTTGCCCAGCGACAGCCCCAAAACATCACTGCTCTAGAGGAGATCTGCATGGAGGAATGGACCAAAATACCAGCAACAGTGTGTGAAAACCTTGTGAAGACTTACAGAAAACGTTTGACCTGTGTCATTGCCAACAAAGGGTATATAACAAAATATTGAGAAACTTTTGTTATTGACCAAATACTTATTTTCCACCATCATTTGCAAATAAATTCATTACAAATCCTACAATGTGATTTTCTGGATTTGTTTTCCTCATTTTGTCTGTCATAGTTGACGTGTACCTATGATGAAAATTACAGGCCTCTCTCATCTTTTTAAGTGGGAGAACTTGCACAATTGGTGGCTGACTAAATACTTTTTTTCCCCACTGTATGTATGTATGTATGTATGTATGTGTGCATTTGCATGTACCATAGCCCGTGATGTATACGTTTGTGTCCACTACAGCATGTCTACATATGTATGTCTATGGGTGTAACATTATCATGCTGTCAGGATTTCTGTCCAAATATTCCTCAGAGCAGACAGACACAGTCAGGTTGGTTTTTGCAGTCCCTCTACCTCCGCTCTGCTGCGTGCTAATCAACAGGACCCATCTGTGCTGAGCTGCCAGAGCCCCGCAGAGAGACACACACACACACACACAGTCAGACACACAAACACACACACACAGTCATACAGAGGCAGCAGATGCAGTCAGAGCAGAGTAGAGAGCAGAGTAGAGCAGTGAAGAGCAAAGCAGTGAAGAGCAGAGCAGTGAAGAGCAGAGCAGAGCAATGACAATCAGAGCAGAGCAGTGAAGATCAGAGCAGAGCAGTGAAGAGCAGAGCAGAGCATAGCAGTGAAGAGCAAAGCAGAGCAGTGAAGAGCAGAGCAGAAGGCACCCAGAGCAGAGCAGTCTGAGAATGTGCATCAATACAGTGGGGAAAAAAAGTATTTAGTCAGCCACCAATTGTGCAAGTTCTCCCACTTAAAAAGATGAGAGAGGCCTGTAATTTTCATCATAGGTACACGTCAACTATGACAGACAAAATGAGAAAAAAAAATCCAGAAAATCACATTGTAGGATTTTTAATGAATTTATTTGCAAATGATGGTGGAAAATAAGTATTTGGTCAATAACAAAAGTTTCTCAATACTTTGTTATATACCCTTTGTTGGCAATGACACAGGTCAAACGTTTTCTGTAAGTCTTCACAAGGTTTTCACACACTGTTGCTGGTATTTTGGCCCATTCCTCCATGCAGATCTCCTCTAGAACAGTGATGTTTTGGGGCTGTCGCTGGGCAACACGGACTTTCAACTCCCTCCAAAGATTTTCTATGGGGTTGAGATCTGGAGACTGGCTAGGCCACTCCAGGACCTTGAAATGCTTCTTACGAAGCCACTCCTTCGTTTCCCGGGCGGTGTGTTTGGGATCATTGTCATGCTGAAAGACCCAGCCACGTTTCATCTTCAATGCCCTTGCTGATGGAAGGAGGTTTTCACTCAAAATCTCACGATACATGGCCCCATTCATTCTTTCTTTTACACGGATCAGTCGTCCTTGGTCCCTTTGCAGAAAAACAGCCCCAAAGCATGATGTTTCCACCCCCATGCTTCACAGTAGGTATGGTGTTCTTTGGATGCAACTCAGCATTCTTTGTCCTCCAAACACGACGAGTTGAGTTTTTACCAAAAAGTTATATTTTGGTTTCATCTGACCATATGACATTCTCCCAATCCTCTTCTGGATCATCCAAATCCACTTCAGATGGGCCTGGCGGCGTAGTGTGTTACTGATGGTAGGCTTTGTTACTTTGGTCCCAGCTCTCTGCAGGTCATTCACTAGGTCCCCCCGTGTGGTTCTGGGATTTTTGCTCACCGTTCTTGTGATCATTTTGACCCCACGGGGTGAGATCTTGCTTGGAGCCCCAGATCGAGGGAGATTATCAGTGGTCTTGTATGTCTTCCATTTCCTAATAATTGCTCCCACAGTTGATTTCTTCAAACCAAGCTGCTTACCTATTGCAGATTCAGTCTTCCCAGCCTGGTGCAGGTCTACAATTTTGTTTCTGGTGTCCTTTGACAGCTCTTTGGTCTTGGCCATAGTGGAGTTTGGAGTGTGACTGTTGTGGACAGGTGTCTTTTATACTGATAACAAGTTCAAACAGGTGCCATTAATACAGGTAACGAGTGGAGGACAGAGGAGCCTCTTAAAGAAGAAGTTACAGGTCTGTGAGAGCCAGAAATGTTGCTTGTTTGTAGGTGACCAAATACTTATTTTCCACCATAATTTGCAAATAAATTCATTAAAAATCCTACAATGTGATTTTCTGGAAAAAAAATTCTCAATTTGTCTGTCATAGTTGACATGTACCTATGATGAAAATTACAGGCCACTCTCATCTTTTTAAGTGGGAGAACTTGCACAATTGGTGGCTGACTAAATACTTTTTTCCCCCACTGTACATCTTAATCACGTTTCTCCACTAGATGAGTGTCAGCAGAGATATAACTACCCCTTTCTGAAGAGGAGGACTCAGCAGTAGACATTCTGAGCATTCAGCTGTTTTAGTCATTGAACTATGAATATTATAAAGCATGTGTGTCAGTGAGAGCTCAAATGTGCATTTAAATCATCTCAGTGAAACTCTTCCACATATGTACATTCATGCAGAGAAGAATAAGTAAGAGACAAATCTCATTTGTCTATCAATAACCCTTGAATAAACCCTTGTATGACGTTTAGATTGCAGGATACATCCAGTTATTTCTAACCATCTCTGTTCTCCACATGAGCAGTGGTCCTGGTTGGAGCACAATACGTGGCCTGCATTATAGTCAAATACAACAGCGTAACTAAAGTCCACTTGACAAATCAATTGACAGCACATTACACTTTAGAAGAGAACAATGCCATGTATACCACCAGCCAGGGGTGTCAAACAAAACTCAATATACTTCAAAATGACTAAAACCTAATCAAAACTGTGTAGACATGTTTTTTGACTGTGTCAAGTTCGCTAATAATCACTGAAATGAAAGCTAGACAGTCAGGGAGCTTTGAAGATTCCAAAAACGATGGATAGAGGACTATTTTTAGCTAATTTTGATGGCAAGGAAATATAACACATTTTCAGTGCGGCCCTCTGGACCTTGTTGAAGACGGAATGCGGCCCCCGGAGCAAAATTTGCTAAAAACAGGCTGCTCCATGTGTTCAACAACAGACGTGTGATGAGCTCACACCCAGTCACACTGTGGACAACAGACATTATTACCTCAGTGATTCTACCATGTTCCAAGCTCCAGTATAATATTGTAAATGACAGAACATAAAGACTAGGGAGGGACGGTGGCATCAAAGACATCAATGGAGAGAGGACTGGAATAGCTCATGACGCGGTGGAGGGCACAAAGTGGGTAATGTAATTGGTGACTTCATCCACAGGAACAAGATCAATTTCCAGTAATTGAAAGTCTCTCAAATGCTGTCTTTATCTTATCAAGTGCCACCATCGCATTGTGAGGTTAAGGCCTACTGTGTTCCCAGTAATAAGCCCCCTCCCTGTTGCTGCTGCCTACACACATAAAGCTCCCAGTACAGCTGTCCTTCCTGTCCTGTTCTGTCCTGTCCCCTCCCTCTCACCTCTTCCTGACCTCTGCTCTTCCATTATACTCGAGCAGTCACTCACACACAGCAGGGCTAGTCAGTACATTCAGGTCAGCTCAATTCAGTTGGAGTTTGCAAGCTTTTTCTTAAGTTTATCATTATTTTAGACACAAATGTATTTTCTTTTTTTATTAGGACTGATTACTAATGTCCAGACAACAGAGGGAAATCATTGGTAGTGTTCTTGAAAAGTTATTTTCTCCTAGTGAAAGCCTAGCAGGCAGTGGGGTTTATGGGAGCTGGCAGACAGAGTCAGCTGTATGTACAGTAATGACTGTGCCGTCTCTTCTCTCTCTCTTCTTCCTGGCGTGTAGAGCAGTATGGGGTCTCAGGGGAGACCAGTCCCACAGAGCTACAGAACATACACTATTTACACACATTAGGCATCTAGAGTTTCTCTCTCTCTCCGATACCGACTCTGTTTTCGCTCTCGTCCTCTGCAGCAAACGCTCCCTAGATGTCTATTTCATCACACTTCTTGTTTTCTTCCATCTTTAGCGTGTGCCTCTCTTATCAAAGCCAGCACACACAAATCCTTGAAGGCAATCAAAAAAAGTGACTGAGAAATATGAAAACGAGCCTTTAGATGTCAGGTACAAGGTTGTAAATATAATAGGCTCAAAGCTTGTCAGAGCTAAAGTAAATAGATTGCTGTGTTTACGCCAAATTGCCAAAGGCTTTTTAGCCAGAAATGGTTTTGAGAGCAGGAGAACACAGTGAGAGTATACGGCTGTGCAGGCTGGATATACAAGAGGCAGCAGAAGCAGCAGGAACTAACTACAATTGCACTGCTTCCTCAATACCCCCTGAAGAGACAAATAACCAGGCCAGTTATGCTGAGTACACCTCTTTGGGAGACCTGAAAGCATACTGATCCATCAACAGTTCTATCCATTCCACACACACACACACCGACCAATTCTTAAAATGATTTACAATTATGCAAAATGCCACCTGATGACTAAGTGTGTGTTTTAATCAGTGGAGGCTGCTGAGAGGAGGACGGCTCATAGTAATGGCTGGAATGGCATAAATGGAATGATATCAAACACATCGAACACGTGGTTTCCATGGTTTCCATGTGTTTGATACCATTCCATTCACTCCATTCCAGCCATTATTATGAGCCGTCCTCCCCTCAGCAGCCTTTACTGGTTTTAATGATGGGGGAAAGGAAGAGATAGTAGGAGGGCTGACCTGCAGGCTGGGTGCAAAACTCCACAGAGATCTCCCTCTTGTCCCTGTGTTCCAGGGGCAGCTGCCAAGGTATCTGGTGTGGCCGCGCCACGGCCTTCACCTTGTAAACGGTCATGGGCTTCAGTTGGAAGAACTGGTACTTGTAGGCCCCTGCCTTCACCATGTCATACTCAGCATCGTTCAGGAAGATGGTGTGGCTGTAGTTGCTGTTGCTAGGCTGCCAGGAGAGCTCAGAAGAGACCTGTGTGATGTTGTCTACCCTCAGATAGTAAGGAGCCACCACCACATCCTTCCCCACCAACAGAGTGCAGCGCAGCTCGTCAGACGGGCCCCGCTCCGTGATGCTCTGCACCGAGATGCGGTAGGTATTGGTGGCCAGGTTGAGCTTCTCGATAAGCGACTTTGTCTTGCCCCCAAAGGGCACGCTCATCCTCACCTCCTTGTCCACCAGGACGTTGTAGCCACTGATGGAGCCCCAGCCGGGCGGCACCACCGGAGGGTCCCAGCACACGATCACACTCTTGGCCAGCTGTTTGATCAGATTGATACGGCGAGGGTAAGGCACAATGTTTTCACCAATCTCGTCAATGCTGACATCCAGGGTCCCTGTCCCGTTGCTGCAGGAACCCATAGAGCCCAGGAAGTCCATGCCCAGGCTACTGCTGCCCAGGCTGGTCAGAGTGCTGCTCAGACTGGAACCCAGGCCAGTGGAACCGTGACTGGAACTATGAGTGGAACCCAGAGTGGAACCCATGTGGCTGCCCAGAGTGGAACCCATGTGGCTGCCCAGAGTGGAACCGTGAGTGGAACCCAGAGTGGAACCCATGTTGCTGCCCAGAGTGGAACCGTGAGTGGAACCCAGAGTGGAACCCATGTTGCTGCCCAGAGTGGAACCGTGAGTGGAACCGTGAGTGGAACCCAGAGTGGAACCCATGTTGCTGCCCAGAGTGGAACCCATGTGGCTTCCTAGAGTGGAACCGTGAGTGGAACCCAAAGTGGAACTGAGGTTGCTCCCCAGGTTTCTCTCCAGGTTTCTCTCCAGGTTTCTATCTAGGCTGGGGCCCAGGTCCAGTTTACTGTCAGACAGCAGGCTGCTGATGCTGCTCAGGCCCATGCTGCCCAGCCCTGTGGAGCCCAGGCTGCTGTGGTTACTACTGAGGTAGCCTGACTCTTTGGCCCCATCCCTGTGCTGAGCAGAGGGCATCTTCTCGTCCTTAACAAAGTCCACAAAGTTGGAAGGGACAAGTCCCTGCTGTCCATCCAGCAGCTCTCCTGATGAACAGAGAAATAGAGATAAAGCAGTAAGTATTAGTATTAATAACAACTCTCCCAGTGAAGAGCAGTAAGTAGTATTAACAACAACACTCACAGTGAAGAGCAGTAAGTAGTATTAACAACAACTCTCCCAGTGAAGAGCAGTAAGTAGTATTAATAACAACACTCACAGTGAAGAGCAGTAAGTAGTATTAATAACAACACTCACAGTGAAGAGCAGTAAGAAGTATTAACAACAACACTCACAGTGAACAGCAGTAAGTAGTATTAACAACAACACTCACAGTGAAGAGCAGTAAGTAGTATTAACAACAACACTCACAGTGAAGAGCAGTAAGTAGTATGAACAACAACTCTCACAGTGAAGAGCAGTAAGTAGTATTAACAACAACACTCACAGTGAAGAGCAGTAACTAGTATTAACAACAACACTCACAGTGAAGAGCAGTAAGTAGTATTAACAACAACTCTCCGAGTACAGTACAGTGAAGACTAGAGATGACAATCGTAAAAGCCACATTAGCACGGATTGATCCACAACTGCCTAATCCTCGTCTCATCTAATGCCCATACAGTAAATACATCCCATAAGCCATGCTGTCGCTTAGCAACAACAATCATTCTGCTCTGAAATAATTATTTTTAAATCATGCAAATTGGTTTTTAACAGAGAGGGTAAAATACAGTGAGTAATCAGACCTTCATAGAAGCCGTCATCATCCATGGTCCCATACACGTAGAGGTACTTCCCTGCCACTAGGGGGAGCTCTGCCTCAGGATGCTCATTGGGCCCATTACAGGGGTTATAACTGGGGGAAAGAAAGAGTAGAGTACAACAGAATCAAGCTGATGAACTCGCTGTGTTGCTCCTCTTAACCCAACACAAGTGGAAATGTGTCCAATTATCTCAGGCTAGATGATGAATTCAGGTTCAAAAAGGTTCAAAACCCAGGTTCAAAATGGGACAATTATTAAACACAATATTAGGAACTGTGTATGGACAATTAGCTTCTGTCAAAACTTGACGACATTGTGATGGAAAAGCACAGTAGCCTAGCTAAATAGTATCCGAGCAATTCCAAACAAATCCAAGCACAGTAAACATTTTGCCACAAACACTGCACCCTTATGTAACTCTATGAAAGGGGAATTGCTGAGTGCTGCATTAAAAAAACAAATATAACATTTTCCAACAGGCAACATTTTTCAACAGGCTAAATGAGAGAGGAAGAAACAGTGAGGGTGGACAGCACTGGGTTCCATTCATGTATTTGCCTTTGTTCTAGGGGATTCCAATTATTCCAGCTGACAGTTCATTTTATTTGGTGAGACCATAGCACTGCATCATTATTAAGAGGTGAGTTCAAACCTCAGTGGGACAATGTGGGTGGAAAACACTTCTGAAAAGTGCTGTGCAGGGATGCATTTTTAATATGACACTGTAGTGTAAGGCATCTCAAAGCAGTTCCCTCCTCTCACCTGTACCTGGCGATGCACAGACGGACCTTGCCTGTGAACCTCTTCTTGGTCCTAGTCGTTGAGCTTAGTTCTTTGTCCATCTGGTGAGAGAGAGAACAAACCTTGAGAGATGAAACAACCAAATATATTACTTTTTTTTTCACACAAAAAAAAACACTTTATGCTCACTATCGTGGAAATCAGTGGGATGATGGCAGAGCCTATAAACTTCTCCTATACACACTTGGTAAACCTCACAATCCTCCCAGCCGAGGAGAGTAAAAGGAAACAGATAGGCCTCTTCACACCCAATCCTCTCTGCCTCACTGTGTTTCCTCAGTCCTGCCTCTCGAACTGAGTGGCACTTCAGCTTAGACTTTCAAAACAGGAAGCAATTTTGCAATCATGTAATAAATGCTGTAATTATGTAACATTAGTGTAATTAATGCGTTACCATCTTCTGAGGAGTTTTTTGAAATGGCAATCAAGCTATTTAGGTCCATCTTCATTAGGCTTATACAATCAGGGCTAGAGTGGAGGGAGGGAGGGACAGACAGACAGACAGACAGACGGACGGTGTTAGGGGGAAACCTAGTAGGACTCACCTCGGTGAGGAGGGCTCGTTGGGAGCTGCCAGCTCGGCTGCTGCTGCGGGTGAGGAATGTTGGCTTTACCGACACGAGCTCTGGCTTGTCCCCACTGATCTGGAGCGGTCGGATGAACTCAGAGATCACAGATCTGCTCAGCGGACTCTCATTGCCTGCAGGCAAAACAAAGGAACAGCTAAGATCTGAAATATGACTACGCCTGCTAAAATCATATTTCTATCTGTGTGTAATAATAATGTCCAAAATGGAGTGCTATTTATCACATACTATTATTTATCCATTTCATCATGTGATCGTCATTCATCGTCATCATCACCATTCATCATCATCATCATCATCATCATCATCATCATCATCCATACATCATTTGATTAGATACCATTAAAAGTAATATATAATATGTAACATTGTAACATTGCAAGAACCCACAGCACAAACAACAGATGGATACAACCCATTAACAATTAGGAAAATAATAATAATAATTGCATTAGTGTTAAAAAACATACAGATCCTTATGTAATCAGAAGGAGAGTTAGAGTCCAGGCACATGCCCAATGTAAAGGTCAGTATTATTGGCATGTATTTATTTAAGTCAACAACAAGAATGTGCCAAGCTGTGGTAAAGGCTATGTCATACAGTACCCTGATTTATTATTTCATTAGGCTACTTGCTCTATGTTGATCCATGTACGTCACAAGCGCTGCTTTCCAGATCTCCAATTTCAGGAGCAGCTGCACGTTTGTCTTTCCATCCTCATAATCCTGGATTGTTCATTTAAAATGTATTTTGGCTGCATTTTGCTCTAATAAAGCTTTCCACTGCTTCCACTGTCTGATTTAACAGTTCAAACCTCCACATACAGCTCACAGATCACTGAAATAACATTATTATGAATATTCTATGAGCTGTGGTCTATGGCGTACATACAGCTAAAACTAAAACAAAGCTCTTCTGGGATTCCTCTGACCTTTCCCTGTGGGGGCGGCCAGCCCGTTGAGGAGCTGGGAGAGGGATTTGTTGGGCGATCCGGGGGATTCACACACAGTTAAGGGATCGGTGCCACTGCCAAGGGTATCAAACTTTCCAGTTTGTAGCCGGAACTTCTCTAGCTCTTTGGACAGGAGGTTGAACTGCTCACTCTGTGTCCGACATTTCTCCTCCAGCTCTCGGACTTTGGCCTGGCGACAGATAGCGAGAGAGAGAGAAAGAGAAAGACAGAGAGAGAGAGAAAGACAGAGAGAGGGAGAAAGACAGAGAGAGGGAGAAAGACAGAGAGAGGGAGAAAGACAGAGAGAGGGAGAAAGACAGAGAGAGGGAGAAAGACAGAGAGAGAGAGAAAGACAGAGAGAGGGAGAAAGACAGAGAGAGGGAGAAAGACAGAGAGAGGGAGAAAGACAGAGAGAGGGAGAAAGACAGAGAGAGGGAGAAAGACAGAGAGAGGGAGAAAGACAGAGAGAGGGAGAAAGACAGAGAGAGGGAGAAAGACAGAGAGAGGGAGAAAGACAGAGAGAGAGAAAGACAGAGAGAGGGAGTAAGACAGAGAGAGGGAGAAAGGAAGGAAGAAGTAGAGAGACAAAAGAGAAGAAAGTAACAGAAGGAAATAAAGTGAAAGAAAGAGAAAATCTGAAACCCAAAACTGTATACTTCTATAAATACACACACAAAATCAGGTAGGATGAGATATTGGACTTTAAAAACGTGGGGTTCATTCCTTACTGAGAAAAGGGAGTTGACGCCTTAAATTTCCTATCAGGCAAAATACAGTCCAGTCATAAACACCTAAACTAGTCACAGTATGCAGATCACATGCAGGACTACAGTTAATGCACATTATTCTATAGAGCAGCCTCTTGTTAAGAGGAAGTATGCATACCAAAAACTGCACTGTGTTCAAAGCGCGGGGAATGCTCCTCAACTTCATTGCACATAGATAGTAAAATAAAGGCAAGAATCATCATCATGAGTTACGAAGCCGATAAAAGAGGGGCAACAGCAATTAAAAACATCATAGAACCATGCAATCAAATCCTTGGCTTTCTACAGTGAAATACTGTCTGTTCTCCACACTGGCCCGTTGATGGGAGACTACGGTACAGTGGGAGAACAGGCAGGCCTAGCAGAAACCCCAGGGGTGCCCAGCTCAAGATCTTCCCTTGGGCAGGGGTAAGTGTTGAGTGTTAACCAACCCCTCAACACATAAACCCAAATCAGCCCCTTCATCAGACCACCCTGGGAGCATTGCTAAAGCTACCATGTCATTTGCGGCACTCTCTCCCCAAAGCACAGTGATGCCTAATGTCTGTGGCGTTTTATTTCAGCTCTGAGTGACTTTCATGCAGACACGTTATTGTCAGCGCGTGAACATGCTATTAGAAGAGGAGTGGCATTTGTAATCACTGCATATGATTCAATGGGTTGATGCATTAGCACAGAGGGTGGTTAGCCTTTCACCATCTTAAAGCCCTCACCTGGATGTATGACCAGTACTGTAGTAGCCTAGTGAAACATGCTGCACTGCATGCAACGCCAACCAGAAATAACGGTTAGAACGTCCTCATAACAGCAATTGTTTCCATTATGCCAGCATCTAAATACAATACCTCAGACATTAGAATGATGCCATAACTAAAATTCAGGCATAACTAAAATTAGAGATGATGAGAGCGATTTTCTGATGGCCTCTCCTACGTCCCAGTTAGGCCTTCTGTCCTGTTGTGTCCTGTTCTGTTCTGTCCTGTGACAACCCCTTCCCCAGTGACTGTCCGGTAAGCAGAGCGGGCTCTGAGCCTAGTGGAGTGTGGATGCACATGCTTTGATGACAAGCTGAATCAAGGAGGCGTGTGTGAGTCATCATTTTATGGACAGGACAGCCTTGCCTTTGGAAAGCACACATTCAACAACTGAAACAACAATACAACTATACATCTTTTTAAAGTAAGCATTTGTTCTTAATTGACTTGCCTGGTTAAATAAAGGTTAAATAAATTATGAACAGCAGCTAGCAACAACAACAAAACCTTAGCAATGAATTAATGACTGGCCATTGTTTCATGTCCAGTATATGACATTGTTCAGCTCTTGAATCTCATGTTTTCAAAATGAAAATACAGTGCATTCGGAAAGTATTCAGACCCCTTCACTTTTTCCACATTTTGTTACGTTATTCTAAAATGAATTAAATTGTTTTTTTTCCCCTCATCAATCTGCACACAATACCCTATAACGACAAAGCAAAAACAGGTTTTTAGAAATGTTCGCAAGTTTATTAAAAATAAAAAACAAATATCACATTACATAAGCATTCAGACCCTTTACTCAGTACTTTGTTGAAGCAACTTTGGCAGCGATTACAGCCTCAAGTCTTCTTGGGTATGACGCTACAAGCTTGGCACACCTGTATTTGGGGAGTTTCTCCCATTCTTCTCTGCAGATCCTCTCAAGCTCTGTCAGGTTGGATGGGGAGCGTCGCTGCACAGCTATTTTCAGGTTTCTCCAGAGATGTTCGATCGGGTTCAAGTCCAGGCTCTGGCTGGGCCACTCAAGAACATTCAGACACTTGTCCCGAAGCCACTCCTGCATTGTGTTGGCTGTGTGCTTAGGGTCGTTGTCCTGTTGGAAGGTGAACCTTCGCCCCAGTCTGAGGTCCTGAGTGCTCTGGAGCAGGTTGCTCTCTGTACTTTGCTCCGTTCATCTTTCCCTTGATCTTGACTAGTCTCCCAGTCCCTGCCACTGAAAAACATCCCCACAGCATGATGCTGCCACCACCATGATTCACCATAGGGATGGTGACAGGTTTCCTCCAGACGTGACGCTTGGCATTCAGGCCAAAGAGTTCAATCTTGGTTTCATCAGACCAGAGAATCTTGTTTCTCATGGTCTGAGAGTCTTTAGGTGCCTTTTGGCAAACTCCAAGCGGGCTGTCATGTGCCTTTTACTGAGGAGTGGCTTCCGTCTGGCAACTCTACCATAAAGGCCTGATTGGTGGAGTGCTGCAGAGATGGTTGTCCTTCTGGAAGGTTCTCCCATCTCCACAGTGGAACTCTGGAGCTCTTCTCAGAGTGACCATCGGGTTCTTGGTCACCTCCCTGACCAAGGCTCTTCTCCCCCGATTGCTCAGCTTGGAAGAGTCTTGGGGGTTCCACTGTGTTCTTGGGGACCTTCAATGCTGCAGACGTTTTTGGTACCCTTCCCCAGATCTGTGCCTCGACAAAATCCTGTCTCGGAGCTCTATGGACAATTCCTTTGACCTCATGGCTTGGTTTTTGTTCTGACATGCACTGTCAACTGTGGGACCTTATATAGACAGGTTTCCAAATCATGTCCAATCAATTGAATTTACCACAGGTGGACTCCAATCAAGTTGTAGAAACATCTCAAGGATGATCAATGGAAACAGGATGCACCTGAGCTCAATTTCGAGTCTCATAGCAAAGGGATGTAAATACATTTGCTAACATTTTTTAAAAACAGTTTTCGCTTTGTCATTATTGGGTATTGTGTGTAGATTCATGAGGATGTTTTTTTATTTAATCCATTTTAGAATAAGGTTGTAGGGGTCTGAATACTTTCCGAATGCACTGTAAATCTAAAGCAATATCTCCCATCAAAATCAGCTTATGAAAATGACCTCTTGATGGACTGCCACTTTGGTGTGGTGTATGCTTAAAATGTGACTATCAATTTAATCCCCAAAACGTTGCCCTTCCAATTCTGAAATGTCATTCCATCATAATTTACTTCCAAAGAGCCAAAAACTAGGGGGATATATCCCTGATGTATATTGTATTGTACAGGCAGAGATGAAAATATCAAGTAAATAAAAACAATTCTGAAATACCTGCATGCTGTCCAAGTGGTTCTGTATATGCACAAAACACACACCAATAACACAGTGAAAAAAAGATGTAGGAAAGAAATTAAGCACAATTACACATACGAACACTCATACACACCTTGAAATCAAAACATACGATTTTCTGTAGCACTAATGCAAAAGTATTTGTTAATAATAATAATAAACAACCACACATTTTCAATAATATAATGATCAATAACGACGTATGTCGACATAATATTGTTTGAATATACTGAATACACATTTACAAAAACACAAAAGCTAATGTGTCATATCAAAAGCACTGTTCCGTTCTTATTTTGCACTGCTAGTTACATGGGTATACAGTTTAGACTTTAAAAATCATCAAAATAAAGTCATCATGGGCAAGAATCTATTATTCCATCTGGTCTTGGTCTTTATGCATGCCACATTCACAACCTTCAACAGAGTGCACAGGGTCTCACAGACAGAGCCAGTAGAAAATGACCCCGGGCTCACACATGTCCGACTGGCAGGCTGACCCATACACACACACTCCAACAGCAGACACACACTCATGTGCACACGCACACACAACACGGCCAGCCAACCTCCTGTCACCCCCCCCCCAGTGCCCAGACACTCACCTCTAACAGATGGACGGCGCCCTCATGCTCCTTCTTAGCCTCAACCTGAGCCTGTAAAACATAACATCTGTGTTACATTCAACACACATACAACCCATGATCTCAACAACTGGACAACTAGACCATTGGGAACTGGCTGGACAGCACCAAAAAACACTAAACAAGTTAGAAAATGCTGTGTTTGAGCTGTTATGAAGGCCATCTATGAAAACAATGGTGTGTAAACATTCAAACAATTATAACAAACAATTAATAATGTATCTTCAATATACTTCTGTAGTGCTCTCTTGAAACTAGATTGCGGGGCTATTCTAGAAGATTAATCTTTGTGTGATATAAACCCACTGTAGTGTATAATAAACATAAAATAATGCATGCTAGTTTACTTCATGTGACTGGGAACATCTGTTGAGAAAACTAACGTTCCACATGAATAGGAGAACATCTGCAGACTTTCCAATTTCATGAATCCACTTCGGAGGCAATTAATTGTAGAGATGCAGAAAGCAGCCAGTGTCTCTATAGAAAGATAACGCTGTAATGAGCTCCTTTTGCTAATGAGAGAAAACAGAGCGTATTTATGGCCAACTCTAAAATAAGTAGCACAGGCAGTGAGAGAAAGAGAGAGAGAGAGAGAGATGGAGAGAGAGTTAAACGGAGAGAGAGAGAGAGAGAAACGGAGAGAGAGAGAGCGAGAGGGAGAGAGTGTGAGAGCGTGAAAGAGAGAGCGAGAGGCTGACGATTCCAGATGAGTTGTTGCTTGACATCAGCTCCTCTCCTCAGAGGAGGAAGGCAAAACGTCAAATCATCCGGGCCAGCCTTTTAGCAAGCCAACAAAAAACGTCAAGTCTGATCTAACTTTAAAGTTGTATTGTCTGCTCCCCGTAGCAGGGAAAGAGCTTGTTACTGAGTGGCTTGGTTCCAGCACTCTCTCTCTCTCTCGCCCCACAGCCTGGGGGGCTGGCAGACAGACAGACAGATTTAAGAGGATACGCCAAAGCTGTAGCAGTGCTCAACACAAAGCTCTTTGACCTCTGACCCAGCACTGGTCTGGGCTAACAAGAGGGCCGCCCCTCCCTGTGCCGCTAGCACTGGCATGGTGACCTTACCTTCTGCAGAAGGTCAATCTCCTGCTGCTTTGCATTGAGTACAGCCAAGGCTTGTTCATGCTCCAACTCTAGCTGCTGCCTCCGCTCTGCAGCCTCACGCATATGCTGTCCGCAGAGGGCAGGGGGAGGGGGAGACAGAGGGAGGGTAGTGGGGGTCATAGAAAGGACTGCTGTTAGTAGAACTAAAAACCCATGACATCAGGCTACCACAAGTCTCCAGTCCTCTGTCCTCAACAAACTCCTGGCTTCTATGTTACAAATACTGAGCTTGTTGACACTTTACTGGACCTCCAAGTCTTGCACCTCACTTTAGGCAGATGTTATGTCAAAACACCAATGTGACAAATGTCAATGACCAATGTCAATTTACAGCTTGTTTCAAATTATCTAAATTAGAGATATCCCCCAAAGCCTGGATCTTAACTTCAAAATCCATACTAGAATGAATGTTTGAACATGTTTGGACGAGAACTGGAGAAGCTTTGCTGTGCATGATCAACCAATCATCAATCAACCGTTTTCAGTTTGCTGCACCCTTTGGGTAACACAATACCTGTGTTTGATGTCTCACTACAGAAGAGCTGTCCTAAGCAATGATGTGTTTGCATGATCAATACAGGGTTTTTAGTTATATGAAAAGGGTGAGCAAACTCCAAGGCGTGCTCACTTGTCCGTGGTCATCCATAACAACAAAAGAAGCCATACAAAACAAAGGCTAAATGCAAGGCCTTCCTCAACCATCATGTCAAAGTGCCATCCAGTCATCTTATTGCTTTCATTTAAATGTGAAGAATCATAAAAATACACACACTTGCAGAGTTGATAGGGGGAAGAAAGCAAAGGACATTTTCATGCCGTCCAATATACATCTATCCCCTGGGTTATTTCATGTCATCAAGCCTGTGTGTGACATTGTCATCATGAACAGTGATACCCAACCCCAGCTCTCCCCTCTCCCACCCCTTCCACATATCCACTGAACTCATAGACGCGCCTCATCATGCACACCCACATTCCACAGTGCGCTGGACTGGTTCTAGCCAGGTGCCCATTCATACTGGACTGGTTCTAGCCAGGTGCCCATTCATACTGGACTGGTTCTAGCCAGGTGCCCATTCATTCTGGACTGGTTCTAGCCAGGTGCCCATTCATACTGGACTGGTCCTAGCCAGGTGCCCATTCATACTGGACTGGTTCTAGCCAGGTGCCCATTCGTACTGGACTGGTCCTAGCCAGGTGCCCATTCATACTGGACTGGTTCTAGCCAGGTGCCCATTCATACTGGACTGGTCCTAGCCAGGTGCCCATTCATACTGGACTGGTTCTAGCCAGGTGCCCATTCATACTGGACTGGTTCTAGCCAGGTGCCCATTCATACTGGACTGGTCCCAGCCAGCTGCCCATTCATACTGGACTGGTTCTAGCCAGGTGGCCATTCATACTGGACTGGTCCTAGCCAGCTGCCCATTCATACTGGACTGGTCCTAGCCAGCTGCCCATTCATACTGGACTGGTCCTAGCCAGCTGCCCATTCATACTGGACTGGTTCTAGCCAGGTGGCCATTCATACTGGACTGGTCCTAGCCAGGTGGCCATTCATACTGGACTGGTCCTAGCCAGGTGGCCTTTCGTGTCATAGGAAAGCAGCCCAGAGAAATAGGGAGAGGCTAGCATGGCCACCGGGGTGGAGAAAAGCATTCAAAATGGGGCTACAGGGGCTGCTCCCCATACAGATGGACATGGCAGTGATACCTGATCAATCTAGCAGGGGAGAGAGGGGATGGAGGGGAAGGGGATGGAGGGGTAGGGGTGAGGGGTAAGCGTGGGGAGGACAGACTGCTCCAAGCTTCCTAGTCTTTCACAGCTTCTGGTCAAGCTTCCTCCCACATCGGCACTGGAAGGCAACAGACAGGTCAGGGATATTAGAGAACAAGAGAGAGAGAGAGAGAGAGAGAGAGAGAGAGAGAGAGAGAGAGAGAGAGAGAGAGAGAGAGAGAGAGAGAGAGAGAAGAGAGAGAGAGAGAGAGAGAGAGAGAGAGAGAGAGGAGCTCGATAGAGAGAGAGAGATAGAGAGCTAGAGCGAGAGCTCGCTCATCTATCTATATCTGTCTCTCTCTGCTCTTTCGCTCTCCTCTCTCTCTCTCTTGCTATCTCTCGCTCTCGTGCTCTAGTCGCTCTCCTGCTCTTAAGAATAGAGAGGTGGTCAGGGAAGGGTAGAGGCTGGCAGAGGGTCAGGCTCTGTAAAACAACCTGAGCTAGGGCTATGATTCTTATTAATCACATATATACAGTAGAGATACAGTAGACATACAGTAGATATACAGTAGATATAAGATAAGGTTATCTATGTTTCCAGACTCTCACCTTTAGCACCTGCTCTAGGTTCTCCAGTTTGCCTTGGAGCTGGGTCTTCTCCCGCAGGGCTGAATCTCTCTCCTGAGTCACAGCACCGAGGGTCTCTTTGAGCTGCTCATACTCTGACTTCACCTGCACCCACAGAGCACAACACAACACAGGTAGCTGATTAAACTCAACTCCACAATGGAGTTGAGCGGCAACTAGTGTGGGCGGAAATGACGTTTTTACATAAAATTATGTTTTCATCAAAAACGACTGAATTCAGCACCCAAAGAATAGCACACAATTACACACAACATTGTCCTGACTGGCTGACTGGCTGGCTGACTGGCTGGCTGACTGGATAGTTGACTGGCTAGCTGACTGGCTGGCTGACTGACTGGCTGACTGGATAGCTGACTGGATAGCTGACTGGCTGACTGACTGGATGGCTGACTGACTGGCTGACTGACTGGATGATGATAGCTACAGTATAATAATGGTGGAGTAACAGAACAGTTTTCACTGTCATAGATGTGTATTGTAGCATGACACTGGGTCTGGGATCAACTATTGTATACACTTGTAATGCTTAGTTCTTATTCAACAAGGAAACCCGAACAGAGTTAAGTGAATTAAGTTGTATTTTGTAGTGTACTACTATAGCTACTGCTACTGTAAAATACAATTAGAAAGGGGATGGCTGCCATGTAATCACACCATTTATACTATGACTCACACAGACCGTGGTGTAGCCATCTCCTCCCCTGATAATGTGTTTTTTCTCAAACAAGGTTAGTGGTGACTAGTGAAGCCATGTATAGGTAATCTTCCTTAGTGAATACATAACTGACTAATGAGGGAGGAAGGAGGCTGTTACAACAACAACAACACAGAGAGCTACTTCAGAGTCAGTGGTCCATCTCCACACAGTGGGGGTGATCTGTATGTAGAAGGATGAAAGGCATTGTTGTGTCTCAGCTAAGTTGGCCAGATAGGACTGAACAGTATGGTGTAGTAGGGGAGCCAACTCAGACAGACGGGCCAGTGGGAGTGCAGATGGGAGGTGCCGTTACACTACCACACTCCACCCCTTCTCACTAGTCTCGTCATCACTCTAAGAGATGATGATAGGGAACACAGAGGTGCAGGCGAGGCGAGGGAGGTCGAATATCTGCCCTCATATCTGCCTCAGTGATAACACTGACGGATGGCTGTCTTGTTTGAGAGCCTAGTGTTCTGATTAGACATTAATAACGAGCATCCCCCTCCTCAACTCCCTCCACACCCAGCAGCTACCTGACAATCAACTCCTCCAGGAAATTGCCTTAGTGTCGATACAGAAGACTTTCGATGATCGATACAGAGGACCCCTGTCTTGGTGTTATCAGCTGGGCAGGAAGGAAGGTCTGTGAGGTGTGAGAAGCTCACAGGAAGTGCTCAAATACAATCAGAGGCTCAGGGTTCTAGCCATGTTACAGATGAGGCTGGAGACACTAGCAGCTTCAGTATCAGCACTGCGCTTAAGGAAGATAAACCCATTCATTTATATAACAGGAGAGAGAGAGAGGCCAGGGCAGCTCTGGCAGTATTCCACTGTGATGCAAACAGCGCTCTGATAAGACAGGAAGTGTAAAGACAGAGAGAGCAGAACCCAAGCCCACCGCCTTTTATTACGAAAACCCCTGATCATTTAGTCCCAGTCACATGACAAAAACACCATTATAAACAGCCAGTGGAGACGTAGAGAGTGGAAATGGAGTGAACCCCTGAGACGGTGTGTGCAGAGGTTTCATTGTGTAGTCATAAATCACAGCAGCACATTGTAGCCACAGATAGAACAATGAGCCAGATATTTCGCTGGATGTATAAATCTGAAGCATCCGGTTGGCATTTCCCATCACCAGCAAATATGGTGATGAGAGGAAGCTCAGTGGCTGGCAGTGGGAGAAGATGGAGCGAGATGGATTTTGGCCAACATTCTGCAAATTTTCTCATTGATAAAACATTTGATCTCAGTATAGTTTTCTGTTCCCAAAACTAGAATGTTACGAACAGAGTGGACTAAGTTTTGTAGACTTTACCCTTCGACAAAGTTTTAAAAAATTGCGTTGTTTAGGAGTGCGAGGGCGCATTGAGTTATTGCACACGCACACTTCACAGAGTAGGCGTTCCCTAATGGAAATATATGCAGAACGCGCAAATAGGATCTCACGAGCTCATGCTGTGCTCTGCCCACATCCTTCCTTCCTTCTAAGGTTCTGTATTTATTTTCTTAGTCAACCTTGTGTTCTTGTACGTAGCCCTGTTTCTTTGTGTTCTTGAACGTAGCCCTGTCTTTCATTTTTGTTCATTGATTTCACCTGTGTTAGTTACTCACCTGGTCTCATCAGCTCCTTATTTAGTTCAGTTCTTTCTGTTTGTGCCTTGTGAGGTATTATTCATTTTGACTCTACTAAGCCTTTTCCTAGCTCGTTTGTGAGAACCAGTTATAGTCTTCAGTCCTAGTTTTGATTCACCTACCTGTTTGCCTACCTGTGTATGACCATTGCCTGCCTGTGACCACGATTCCTGCCTTCTGCGAAGCCGAAATAAACACCTGCCGCACTCTGCGTGTGAATCTACACCTTTTTCTCCCTGAGTATTCATTACACTTGTTCTGCCCGCTATGATGTATTTGCTCCCATTGGAAACAACAGGCTGTGGTGTATCTTGGGTTAGTTAAAAGTATTTTTGTATTTGTATTATTATTTAGTCTGTCTTGT